TCCTTCCTTCCTTCCTTCCTTCCTTCCTTCCTTCCTTCCTTCCTTCCCCAGTCACTCTTATGTGGATGTTGCACATCCATCTCTGCTTGCTATAAGGCAGTCCTTCTCAAATAGTGGGGCGCACCCCCCTGGGGGGGCCCGGAGCAATGCCAGGAGAGGCGCATGTGATCCCGGTGAACATTTTGCGGCAGGGATTAGTTTTTATTATTTTTTTTTTTCACCATTTTCATTGTGTTAGGGTGCGTTCGGCAACTGTTCGCTAAAATCCGGCAACTCTCAGTCTTACTAATAATAAAGTTATGAACAAATATGTCTGTCTTGTTGTTTGGGGAACCATGATTGAACTGTGTTGCTGTGACACCTCCTCAGATGGTGATGCTCTGGACGCTTGTCACCACAGCACACATGCGACAGAGAATAAACTCAAAGCGAGAGCGTTACAAGCCCCTCTTCCTCTTTTACTTTAACAATTTATTTTTAGTTTGTCAAAGTACAATTTGTGTGTGTTTTTTAATTCAGAAGTAATGTTTAATAAATGTTAGGACTCTATTCTTTACTAAAAAGTCCTCCGCTCTGGACGCATTTCACCCACAGCACGCAGCAACAAAGAGCATAAACTCAAAGCGAGAGCGACATCTGCCCCCTCTTTCCTCTTTCGCGTTAACAAAATTTTTTAGTTTCATTGATTGTCAAAGCACAAGTTTGATGTTTTTTTAATTTGTTATAAAAACAGATGTTTAACAAGTGTTAGGACTCTATTCTTTGCTAACAAAATATATTTTGTCATTAAACAACTTGTCAGGTTCTTGTGAGTGCGCCGCATTCTCCTGGACCGCCCCCTATGTAACACTCCAGACTTACAATGTTGCTGATCAATTTGAATTTATTATTATTTATTGACTGTATTCAATTTAATTGTTCAGTATCAAATGGTCAAAAATGTTTACAGTTTAAATAAGAATATATATATATATATTTTCAATTTCAGGCAAATTGATGCACGTTAAGCCTTTTCTGTTAAAGACTAGAAAACAATGTTAATAATCTTTGTTGTAAGTTGATCTATATCCATCCATCCATCCATCCATCCATTATCTTTACCCGCTTATTCCATTTTTGGGTCACGGGGTTCGCCGGTGCCCATGTCCAGCAATCATTATGCGAGGGGTGGGGCACACCCTGAACAGGTCGCAAGTCCATCACGGGGCCACATAGAGACAAACGAGACAAACAACCATTCACTCTCTCACTCACACCTAGGGACAATTTAGAGTTACCAATCAGCCTAACATGCATGTTTTTGGTCTGTGGGAGGAAACTGGAGTACCCGGAGAAAACCCACGCATGCACGGAGAGAACATGCAAACTCCACCCAGAAAGGACCCTGGACCGGGGTTTGAACCAAGGACCTGCTGATCTATATTTCTTTATTTATTTAATTATTGTTAATAAGGACACAGTGTTATGCAGAGATGTATTTATCACATTTTTTTAGACAAATTATACTATTTACAGTTGCAGCGGAGAGTTGGGGCCGGGGGCACGAAATGTTTACTTCTTCCTGGGGGTTGGGGGGGGTAACCAAAAATAATTGAGAAGCACTGCTATAAGGTCTGCTATTAGTATTGGATACTATTGACAAGCTCTGATCCTCTACTTTCAGAAATCTTATTTTTTTATTGGCTCAACCACCCAGGAGTTATGCTACTAAGAAGCTCATGAGACAAATGTGACACACTGGTGAACCTCGTCTTTGTATGATCAAAGTCCTGCTGGCTACCATAATACAGAGTTTTTGTGCTGATTATTCTATTACTCTGTTTTCCTGTACTGTTTGAGTTACCTTTATTTATTTATTTGACAAAAAAGGCATTAAAATCTCTTCAAACCTTTGAGCTTGTAAAATTCTACCTCATCATATTTGCTTCATTTTCCACTTTCAGCTACTGTTTTGATATTTTGAGTTTTAGCTACTGTTACACTGGTCTTAGATTTGAACTTTTATTTTGCTACTTTAAACTTTTGTTCTGATCAGTTTCAGTGTCTTCACCAAATGTCAGCGAAACCATTCAGTACTCGGCATTCACACTCTTTTGCCAGTAATGCTGCTCTTTCATTCTCAGCCAGCATTCTGGCCAGACTTGGCAGAGATCTTTGTGTGGGCATCAGAACATTTATGAAGAAAAGTTGCATTTGCTTCTAACGAGTGAGCAAGCTGCTTGTTTAGTGTCACAACCTTTTTCTTGTGCACCGTATAATTCTGCAGTTCCCCGATACCCTGATAGGGAGGTGTCTTAAGAAGGCCATCTTGGGACAAAGGCAGCCAACAGGTCAGATGGAGCTGAAGCTGCCACGTGTTCAAACTGACTGTTAGCCATGTGGTGTTTCTGTCTGGGATGGGTGTGTAAAGACAAGGAAAGCACAGCAAAGAGGACTTGGTGAAAGGATGGGAGGAATGGTGGAGGTGAGCATGCAATTCAGCTGATCACACGCAAAACCAGAGATGCTCCCTGCTCCATTCAGGTTTCGTTTTCCTGTCTTACCATGTGTTGGGGTCTTGTCCCGTCGCCGCACCCCTGTATTGCGGCTGCGGTCGTAGTCAGGTCCAGCTGGTCCATCTCCTTCCAGCAAGGAGAAGTATTGACCACTGTCCTGGTCTAGGTAATAGCTGACGGCCTCTGATCCTTTAGAGCCAGACTGGGAGCTCATGCTGTAGCGGCTGATATCATCACATGACATCAGGCCCATCTCGTCCCTGCAGAAAGCACAATTGCCACCATCAGTGTCATCAGCAGCCTCATGATAATCAACATAACGGCAATCATAGGAAAAAACCATGACCCTGCGTGTGTCTGACCTGGGGCTATAGAGACCGGAAACAGGAGACAGGATGTATACATCCTGCATGCTCGGAGCATCCATTTTGGACATGCCCAGAGTTCCACCTGGTGTGGGGGACGTGCTGGTGGGACTGGTGGGAATAGGCTGAATTGGGGTAAAAAAATAAGAAGAGATTGTTTGTTTTTAGCATCGTTTTACTATGAATATTTTGTCTTTTTTCATATGTCTGTGTGTGATTTGCTACAAAAATCTCAAATTCATTAATTATCTCATACATGTACTTATGTATGTGTACATATATATACACACGTACATATATGTATATGTATGCTCAGATGTGTATGTATGTATACATATACAATATATATAGGTATACCTACCCACCGTGTGCATGTGCATATTTGTCTTTATTTAATTTGTGTATTCTGCTTCTTTTTTGGTTATTTGACATGATTTTTTTTTCTGTATGGGATTAGTTATCTATCTATCTATCTATCTATCTATCTATCTATCTATCTATCTATCTATCTATCTATCTATCTATCTATCTATCTATCTATCTATCTATCTATCTATCTATCTATCTTTTAATCAAAAGTAAGTAATAACTGAATGTACATCTACAAATTATTTTCTTTTGAAGTCATTCTAAGTTAAGATGGTTATCATAGCCAATTGATCCTAAATACACAAACATTTGGTTATAACTTGGTCAGTTTTAAGTGTAGTACCCAAAAATTATTGTCTCCTATGGAGCTACTCGTTTTGCTAAATATTCCCTTAAACATTTGACATCACCCGTCAACATGTGTCCTGTCTGATGGTTAGCAAAATATCTCATAAACAACTGGACACATCATATTGATGTTTTAGGAAACATTAATTTCATGCACATCCATAACTTGTTTCAAAGATTGGAGTCTGCCCAATCCAAGACGGCTACCACAAGTAATCAACATTAGCTAAAAATAAAATGACTAAATCTGTTAATTTTGCAGATATTGAGCTACACATGTTGTGGTAGTGGCTAAGAGACACCCCCAACGTATATTCTGAGCACTAACAAATATCAAGAGATCTCACAATAATATGTGCAGTTGTAAATTGTGTATTTTCAAGATTTTGCCAAAAACAGTCATTTCTCAGCAAAAGATGATTTTACATTTAAATTCTGACATGAGATGTCGTGGATCATTTGCATTTCTGCAAGGAGTGATTTGCTATAAAGTGAAGGATATGACACTATGGTCCTATCCAGAAAAACACACACAAGCACTGACATTTTTGTAAAATAATTATTTTTCTGATATTTGCAGTTTTATAAATACTTCTGTTTTTAAAGTGTGTTCTGCCTTTTTATTCACTGAGAGGTTGTGTTGTCTGCCTTGCATTTAATCGCTTCACAATTCTCTCATTTTGTCTTTTCACTCACATAGGCGTTTGCCACGTCTGTTCCCATGACAACCTCTCATCTCTCTGCTTGCTTTTTCTTTTTTTATCCCCTCCCTCCCTTCATCCATCTATCCATCCATCCATCTTGGGCTTTGGGAGAATCAGAGGATGAAGGAAAGTTATTCTCCTACGTCTGCTTTGCCTCAAGGACACGTAGATAAATGTGTCGCCAGGTTCTTTGTGAGAACAGGATGCCTCGCTTCTGCTGTCATAGAAACCAATTTCAAACAAATCTTATTTGTTGTCGTCAGAAACAGATGGAGCAACAAACGCTTGGTTCGTTTTGCTGTTTTTCACCCGGAGGAGGAGTTACTGTATGTCTGACAGTCTTTGCAATATTTCAGGGAGTATTTACAGACAGAATGGATAAATGGAGCAGTGGCAAGTCAGGGCGCGTTTTCATTAAGGAGGCCCAGTGTCTCATCATTTCATCAGCAGCAGTGCATTAATCAAATTCATTCCATATTCCAAACTTTCTATTCTCTCCATACCCAGGCCCCATCTCATTATTTTCCTCTCCTAAAGGATGCTTGCAGACAGCTTTGGCATAAATAATGATGGGATGAAAAGAGACAATTTAAGGCCAAGACAATGGTCAGTTTAATTTGTGAAAGATGCTGATAGGATGATCAGCAACAACGACATTGCATTTATTTGTGCTGTATTAAGCCACCAAATACATGTAAACCTTGAAATCTGGATAATTTGATAAATAAGCATTAGACCAATTTCATTTTTTGTCTGTGCCTGCATCTTTGCATAAGAAAGGTCACTATCAAAAATTGGGTTGACACGTCAAAATTCAAGATGATCACCGTTGTATATAGTATGTAAACCGGCCATGCCAGACATAAGAGAAAAATATGATTTTAAGTTTTTATAATGCTTAAAAGTATAGTTTCTTCACACGATTGGGGTGGTCAAAGATGAAGGCCATGACCACCACTGGCCATCCCCTAGCCCATTGTAGCTGGTGGTGGATGAAATTGCTCCCTCCACTTGCCAGGATGCATCACTTTGTTCTGCCTCAGACAAGCAAAAACTATATTTTTTTTAAATAAAAAATAAAAATAAAAATCTACTTTCTTACACACACAGTGTAACTCATACCCACTGTAATTTCTTGCAGCAAAAAAAACAACAACAAGGTTTACTTGCAATCCCTGTTTAATTCCAGTCCAGAAAAACACGTATGTCAAAAACTACAAACATTCACTATTCAAATACCTCAGCAACAAGGAATACTGGTGTACCACTTGTCCCTTTGAGATTTAAAGGTATGATTAGGCTGCCTATAGGCCCACACCTCCCTCAAAAAA